ACACAGGGAGAATGTGCAAACTCCACACAGACAGTCGCTCAAGGCTAGAACTTAACCTGGGTCCTTGGTGCTGTGAGGCAGCAGTGCTAACCACTGAGCCACCATGCACTTGTTATAATGTTGTGATGGATTACCTTTGCACATCAGTTAAGTATTTATAAAATACTTCCCAGCAGACAGCGAATGGTCAACGTATAGTCCACAATAAAATAGCCTGTGGAAGGACAGGCTGGATAAACCAAACAAGATTTTCTTTTCCAATATTTTTACTATTCTCGGGACTAAAACTAAAACTTGCATTTTTACTAATGGAAGAGTCAACTTAAATGTAGTTCTCACTGTTTCTTATCAACCAGTGCTATGCTCAGGGCCAGAGTTCTGTGGTACTGTTGTACTAAGGACATACCAGAATGGAACATAGTATACTAACCCTGCTTCCGTTGATAACTCTGTGAAATGAATACCATTAAAAAAACTCATTTGTATCTGTCAGAATACTAGAAATTGAGCCAAACACCCAGCTCTGGGATTTGGCTCAAAAAGGAACCAGCTGCTTTGCTATTTCACCTTTTTAGAATTACATTTTGTTTTAAAAGAAATGGGAGCATTTTTTCTGACAAGCCTCGACACTTGTGAAACACGTGAACACTGGATTGTATTAATTAACTTTGCAGCACCCTGCACTGTATAAGACAGCATTCAAAACAGTCTATTGAGGCATTTTGCTATCAGTGCTCCTCCAATTCTGACCTCATGTGTAACTCAATTTGAACAGCAACTTGGTTAGTCACACTTCTTTCTTTCAATCTATCCCTGCACCTTTGCCCCTTTCAAGTATCTATCTGATTACCTTCCATCAGCTACTATTGAGTTTCTCACATCTATCATGGTCTCAGGCAGTGTGTTCCAAACCATATGCATTTACTGTGCCTCTGATTCTTTTGTCAAACTTCTGGTAATCCATCCATTTGCCAGTGGAAACAGGTTCTTTTTATTCATTCTATCTAAACTTTCTCCTGGCCTTCCCTGCTCAAAGCAGAACAACCCCAGCTGCTCCAGTCTACCCACATAACTGCAATCTCTTAACCTGAGAAAAATGAGCATTACTTACAGCATCTGGAGCTGGTAAAGTCCAAAGATGTGCGAGTTAGGTGAATTGGCCATGCTAAATTACCCATAGTGTTCAGGGGTATGTCAGTTAGGTGTGTTAACCATCGGAAATACAGGGATCGGGTAGGGGGATGGGCCTGCATGGGATGCTGTTTGGACAGTCAGTGTGGACCTGTTTCCATACTGTAGGGATTCGGAGGATTGGTAAAAGTCTATCAAGTGGGTATAACATGACTTTAATTACATAGTAACGAGTTAATGTAGGGTGGCAGCACCTTAAATGGGAACAGAGGAATTTACAAGGAAAAAAAGTGATACGACGTACACACAGGATTTCAGCACAAAAATCAAGGCTGACTTTCCAGTGCAGTAGTGAAGGAGCACTGCAGTGTCAGAGAGGCCGTCTTTCAGATGAGTCATTTAATGTACATATCAGCTTGGTTGAGTGAAGAAGATGCTGTTTCAAAAAAGAACTGGGGAATTTCCTTAATGTTTAGGTAATGTTTGTTCCTCAAACATCATCAAGAAAAAGCAAATTACCTGGTCATTGTCACATTGCCGTTTGTGAGCAAGTGCCTTACACAAATTAGCTGCTGCAATTCCTAAATGGCAATAGTGTCCGCACTTAAAATATTTTTTTGGTTGCAAAAGCTTTGAAGCAGCCGGTGGATAAGAAAGGCATTATATAACTGCAAATCACTTCTTTAAAAAAAAAGCCAAATTGCAAAACCTACTTTGGTGATACTTTATTTTCAAGCCCTTCAATATTAGTTGAGGGTTGAGGGGCAACCAAAATAACTGAACACTGGATATTGACTGCCACAGGGACCGTTGGATAGCATATTCCAATTGTGCTGACTGGAAATTACATTTTATTACAAAGAATTACTTTCTCTGCCCACCATAACAGCCAGTTCTCCTATACTTTTACTTTCATTTCTTTTTAATAGAAGATATAAATTTTGGGCACATATAACACACTTCTTTCATGCCTGCTATTTGATTTTTAAATAATTTATAGAGATACAACATCACTCAGTAGGAGAACTGTACAATCTTCCAATTTAAGTTTGTACACTGCAAGCACTGCACATAATCACCTGCCCACAGGAGACATCGAAAGAGAAATTACACAATCGATAGCTTGCTAATGGAAACAGTTTCTAGTAAGTAATGCAAGTAATGCAACTACAATATTATGAAACCACCATGTGGTCTACAAAACACCCATAATAAGAATGGTCAGAAAACTGTGCACATTTCACCTCACATTTATATTACATGACTGGCAACACTTCTTTTCAATTTTGAATTTTAACTTTTTAACTAATTTGATAATTCTGGAAGTTAAACAGCTTTCTAAATAAGCATTGTCATCTGTTTTCTATCACTCTTAATCAGTTTCCTTTAGTTAACTTCAGTTTATCAACACAGATCACAGCACACATTGTGTGTGTCATACAGTTCTGTCACTTGCAGCACTGTGCGACTTTGGTGGAGGAAGTGAATATTTAAGTTCACGGAGGGGATGCCAATCAAGTGGGCTGCTCTATCCTGATTGTCCCAATTGGACAAACAGCAGAAAACCAACCTAATAATAAAAACAAAAAGTGCTGGAGAAAGTCAGGTTTGGCAGCATCAGCTGAGAGAAAAAAAGGAGCTAATGTTTTGAGTCCAATATGACTCTTTAAGTCCATTTCTGAAGAAGTCACATTGGACTCAAAACATCAACTGCTTCTCGATTCAAAGATGCTGCAGATTTTCCAGCACTTTTTTAACTCCAGATTTCCAGCATCCACAGTATTTTGGTTTTAAGTTGGTTAAACTACAGCAATAATCCATGCATTCAAGAGAGTTTTTAAACTGTTGCCATCTTGTACCCTAGTTGTTTCAGTTGCAGTGCATGGGATGTGTTCTTCCTGCGTCTCCAGAGTAACAATATTTACATGCTTTAACATACCAGATACTCTGCAAAACGATTTTCACTGCCAATTTGGTGTACAGCCCTGTTGGTAATTTTTATTCATTCATTGGATTAGAGTTTGCTGACAAGGCCAATATTTATTATCCATCCTCACGAGCCAGATTGGTTAAAAACTGCAGATTTACTTCCCTAAAGGATATTTGTGAACCAGATAGTAATTCATGGTCATCATTACTGCTACACTCACTTCTTCAATTCCAGATTTAGTCAATTAAATAATTTTAAATTCTTCAGTTGCTGTGGTTAGGGTGGTGGGATTTGAATGTAGGACTCCAAATCATTAATCCCTGGATTATGAGTCCAATAACATAATACAATGGTACCATAACTCATTAAGTTTTCTCTTAGTCAGCAACTCAGACAAAAACATAGGCTCACAGGTGGTACAGAATACTGCATCGTTGGAGGTGCTGTCTACTGGATGAGATATCAATCAGGCAGGTGTAAAAGAACCCATGTCACTGTTTTGACGAAGAAGGGCAGAAAAGTTATCCTTTATGGCCTGGTCAATATTATGCCCTCAACTAAAATCATTAAATAGAAAGAACCTGGCTAAACAAAGTAAGAATCTGGCCGTTGTCACATTGCTATTTGTGGGGTACTACAGTGGAAGATTGACTATCATATTTAATCCATGTCCATCACAGACATGTCCAGAACTTTCCAGTCATCCATGTGGTCGTCAATGTTTCAAATCCATCCGGAAGCAGATTCAAAATCACCAGCCAGTGAACCAGTCCTAACTGCTGTGCATCATTAAATATGGTCACTCCAGAATGCCCAGCTAACTCAAGGTATTGGAGTAATCCAAGAGTAGCAAGTGAGGGGTGACCTGATTGAGGTACTTAACATTATGAAAGCATTTGATAGGGTACTCCCAGAGAAGACATTGCCACTTGCGGCATTTGGGCAATAAGTGTAAGACAATCACGTATAAATCTGATGGAAATTTCAAGAGAAACCTCTTCATCCGGAGAACGGTTGGAATGTAGAATTCACTGTTCCACAGAAAGTACAAATGCATTTAATAGGAAACAAGAAAAGCACATATAGGAGAAAGGAACAGAAGCATGTGTTGATAGAGTGAGTGCAAGTATGATGGGCATAGGCTCCTGTGGAGCATAAATACCAGCATAGATATATTGAGTTGAATAATCTGTTTATGTGCAGTAGATTGTATGTAATTTGAAGCAATGATTACTGCAAGTGAAAATCATGGTGCAACTCCCTTGGCGAAAAACACAAGGGACTAAATTAAAAAGAGTTCCTTTCCATGTTTTCACATTATACAAAGAGGATGTTCTTTTTCTCCTGAAAGTACTCCCTCTAGGTTCAGCTTCACTTTCAAGTATGCCATTTCCTCTATATCCACCTGTATTTCAACAAAAATTCCACTCACTGATGGACCCCTCAGATTGTTTCTTTATAAATTTTTGACATAACTGTGCAATTGAAGAATCTCTAGCAATGGTGAGTAAAAAATTTCATATACACTAAACTCAAACCTGGTGACTGATGCACCTTTGCTCTTCCACTTATCCAATAAACTGCAGCAGCAACAGGCTGAGAAATACAACAATGAGTTAAAACAAACAACCACCACACTAGTTACACAATCAATGGGATAAGTTAACAATTTTTAGAAGTGGATGAAATCAAATGTAGTGGTCACCAAAAACATCAACAGAAATCTCAAAATTCTGGTTTTAAAAAAGCCTATGAAGTAAGTTTTATGCTGATAATTTCCAAGTGTGACATATAACCCTGATCCCCTTCCTTATCCCACGCAATGAAGCATATTTTGGATTGATTGATTTTACTAGCTTGTAATGTTTATTTTTTGTTTAATGAAGGGAATGCTTGCCAGCAACAATCAAGTGCATCCAATTATCAGATACCTCCTTACCGTGCTCCACAAACACATTGAAATGCTGAGCTCCATGTTTGGATGCCTCTCGCTTTCCTCCTTTGATAAAGTGCAGCGCAGGCAGTGTCGGCCTTCTTTGGTCCGCAAGAACTTTGCCTGGTTGTTGCCCCATAAATTAATCCACTCCAGGTCCAAGCAATAATAAAAAAAAATACAAAAAGAAATACTCTTCTACAACTGGAAGTGATGGGTAAGAGGAGGAGGAAGGGGTGAGGGAAGCGAGTGCCCACAGAAGGAGACACCCTGGGGTCGGGAGGACGGCAGAAAGTTAGAAGGCAGAGACGGGGGTATTAAGAAAGTGGGGAGCAGAGAAGGGTCACAACCTGAGGGAAACAGAGGGGGAAACACAGGTTAGGAGCCAGGGAAAGGAACATATGAGTGGGGGATAAACGGCTAGGGGTCTGGGAAGATGGGTCAAAGCTTA